TACCAGTCATCACGAGACCCCATTCACCCTCTGCCCATGTTGAATATGCGGTTTGCATCGCTTCGACTGGCAAACCGTCCTTGTCGGCCCAATTCTCAGCCATGGCGGCCTTCGAGAGGCGGTTCGGCAGAGTGAGGCCGCATTTTAGCGTCAGAGGCTTCGCGATAGCAGTGTTTGACATATTGGTGTCTAAGGTTGTGTTTCTCTGAGATCTTTTGCGTAACGTCGCAATGGAAACTCGTGAAGGAATCTTTGTCCCCTTTATCGAAAGCGAGACGCTGTTATTTGATGCTGAATGAAGTGCTAGCTGTTTTAATCTGCTCAACTGAAAAAATTCTCTTTATCTATCTTCACTTGATTGTCACCATCGCACGGCCTCGGCCCACAAAAGGGGACTCGATCCCAGAAGAAACGGGGTGGAAAGTCGGATTACAAAGACAGAACATTATCGCATCATGGCACGGCGAAACGGGAGGCTCCACAACCCGACGGAGAAGACTGCCCGTGAACTGTGCTTTGTGAAACTTGTGCCGAGGTATCGCTAATCACGAATGACGCCAGCTTCAAGTCAGTTAGACTGAGTGGTGCGGAGGAATAATCCCGCCGATTCAACCCAGCGGAGCAGCAACGCAGCGGACTTGAAAAAGACGGGGGAGCTTGGGGCAAGTAAAAACTCCGCACTGCTCGGACTTACGTTGGATGGACCGACTCATGAAAGTGGACTATGAAATTTCGATGGATTAAATTGAACGAGACTCCCGCGAATTCCAGAATGCACCGTCCGCTCTCTGCCGAAGAAGCGGATCATCGGAGCCAAGTCAACCGGTGGATTACGCCCCGGATGTCTTGCCGCAGGATCCCGTTTCCGTGCCGCTCGAATGCCGGGTGACTGTCAGCACTCTGAAAAGACAACGGCGGGCCGTTTCTCGGAGACAGCCTATTATTCCTGCGTTAGGCTGATTACTTTTCCTGTGACTATTCTACCTTATAGTTGTGCTTCTATCGTCCTCGTCGCTTCTATTGTCGTTATCGCTTCAATTATTGTCTTGCTTCAATTGTGGTCTCGGACAGGAGTCTACACAGGAATAGCCACGTAGACACAGCGAAAACAGGCGGTCTCGTTTCTCGGTGGAGCTTGAAGGGGGTAGTACAGAGTAGTCTGTGGAACTTTCTCCAAGCTTTCTAACTGGATCAATCATTTTATTCTCTATGGACATGTCCAGCGCTCCCATGCATTTCAGAGGCTTCTAGCCCTTTCTTCAACACACGCCACGACGATCGGATCCTCGACACTGTTGCCATTTCAAGCAGCGAGCCACATCCTAATGCACACCATCCACGGAACGACCCGAAGCCATTGCACACATAGCAATAACGTCATTGCCATCTGATTTATTTGTTGACGACCGAATTCGAAACTACTTTTCCAACCAGTCGCTAATACGCACATGCCACAAACATTGCTCCCGTCTTCCGTGCACATAGAAGAAAGAACCCTTTTAAGACGTATTACTTAGGCGACGAGTTGAGGAAGTGGCATACGGCAAATGCCAGTCATCAATCGTAAACCTACCTACGCCGAATGTCGACCCTGAGGTTCAAACCTGCTTTTCCTTCGGCTTCATTACGGACGTGAGCAGAATGGTGATCAGCCGACATCCTGCTGATGCAGAAATCCTGCCAGACTAGATGGACGTTCTCCTTGGCCCTCACGTCTGACCCACGTTGTGTACTACATCGCTTGGCCGTCATAGGAGCGCGTGGAGGATGGAATGCAGCCCCAGTTTCCCCAGATCACCGTTCTTCGGCTCTTACCTCCTGCCCCACGCAGAACTTCGTCAGCTTCCCCGGACTCCGTCCTTGTCCCCAAGCCCGATAATCGGGCCGTTGCGGGGCTCCTTAAGGTCGCCCTCTGTAAGGCCCGGCCATCGCTTCTGCGGGGATGCCGCGCTGGCCCCTGCTCATTTCCCAGTCGTTCACCATCGTGTGCCGCCCGCGTGATTTTGGCAGCGTGAGTCAGGGAAGGTCAGCATCGGTAAAAGTCGCAAGGGTGCCAGACATTACCATGGCCTAAAATCGCTATACATCAAGCCGGCGAAGCACCGAAAAAGAACGGCCAAGACACCTGATCCGGAAGATGAACCGGTTTGCTGTCAACATGAAGCATCGTCCGACACTTGAAAGGAGGGGAATGAGGGGCCGATGATTGACCGATCGTCAGGTACACCAAACAAGCTTAAAATGTGTTCCTCAGTATGGTCCGTTGGCATCCTCCCCGCAAGTTCTGTAGCCATCGCGTGCCTAGCGTCGACCAAGAGGCTGTTGCCGGAAGCATGTGCTAGCATGTCTCCTCCGGTAAAAGCAAACGATTGGAGGTGTTGCTTGACGGCCGAGAGTCCGGCCGCCTCGCTGCCGACTTCCCCGAGAGAAAAGGGGCAGACTCGGCTTGGGGTTACATTTCCAACCCAACCACATGTTACCCTTTTTCTCAGTTAAAAGCCCCCTCACTCTAAATATCAAATCCTTCGCATGCGAACATTTGGTGATGCATTGATTCAATTCGAAAGCTCAAGCGTCATGAGTCTTTTTGGACAGTAAATGATTGAAATATGGTGAAGGGTGTCATCGGCCTCTCCGCTTTTTGACTCGAGGGCCTAGAACAATTCACTGCTCAGCCCTAAAAGGGAGTGGTTTTTTTGAACGCCCCTGTGAGGTCGACAGGGGAATCTTGCCGAAACGCTGTCAAGATTTATCATGGCCGCTCACAGTACCACCACACTACCTGTCAAGATCAGACGAACGCCCGTCTGATGACTAGCGCGTCCATATTTGAGAAATGATATGGTCCATAATCCTCCAATGGCCAAAAGAGAGGCAGTTCTTAATGCCTCTTCTGCTCGATTGGGTGTCGGGTACATCGAGAAGGGCCGGTTCCTGGCCCGTGTCATATGCCATCGTCGGCTTTTGAGTGTGGGGTAGTAGCAAGGAGACAACACCATGACAGGGGTTGCGGCGGGCAGGCTTCTCGGCCGCCCATGATGAAAGGCCGCCCGCGGTGCGCCCAGCGTGGCATCGCGGCGGGAACACCGATGAGTATGGCTAGGTTGTTCAGGGGTTGTTCACCAACTCAGTCCCAAATTGCAAGAGTGAGCTCCAAGACGACAACACGTGCTCACGAACCACCCTGATAGCACCCCATGAGCTCATTTTTTTGAAGTATATAAGACATGAAAGCCTCCAGGTAATGTTCCTGAGAAAGAGCACACCAGCAAGCAATTCCAACTTCATTCACTCTTTACTATTCACTCACTTGACTTCATTCACTCATTCAGTAAGTCTATCAGGTTAAAATACCTCCACGCCCAGACCTTTTCTTACACATCACAGTCATGGTCTCCAACAAGTTTCTCACGGTCCTTGCCGTCGGTCTCCCAGCCATCCAGGCTGCTGTCCCAGAGATTGCCGGCTTCACCCTCACCTGGTCTGACGACTTCGTCGGAACCGCCAACTCCCTGCCGAACACTGCCAACTGGATCATCGACAATGGCACCAGCTACCCCGGTGGCCCCGCCAACTGGGGCACAGGTGAGATCCAGACCTACACCAGCAACGTCAACAACCTCAAGCTTGACGGAAACGGCGCTCTTGCGATCACCGCCATCAAGGATACCGCCGGTGCCTGGACATCGGCTCGTATCGAGACCCAGCGCGCAAACTTCGTTGCCGCTGCAGGCGGCAAGATGAGAATTCAGGCTAGTCTGAACTTGCCCGTTGTCGGCACCAACGGCATTGGATACTGGCCGGCCTTCTGGACCCTGGGCGCCGCTTACCGCGGAAACTACCAGTAAGTACTCGTTCATTCATCGAGTTCAAGACAACGTGATTAACAAAAATTCTAGGAACTGGCCCTCCATCGGCGAGTTTGACATCCTCGAGAACGTCAACGGCATCAACAAAGTCTGGGGTGTCATGCACTGCGGCACCAGCCCCGGCGGCCCCTGCAAGGAGAAGGATGGTCTTGGTGGAAACCGGGAGTGCCCCGGCACCACCTGCCAGGGCAACTTTCACAAGTACACCCTCGAGGTCGACCGCAGTGCTACTCCCGAGGCTGTTAGGTGGTTCGTCGACGACACTTTGTTCTGGCAGGTCACTTCGGATGACCTCCCTGCCGACGTCTGGACCCAAGCTGTTCACGAGCCCCATTTCATTCTTATGAACCTCGCCATCGGCGGCGAGTTCCCCAACAACAACTACGGCAGCACCACTCCCCTGGCTACCACTGTCTCTGGCGCCAGCTTCCAAGCCGAGTACATCGCGGTTTACAATTCCTGAGCTGGGATAGGATGTTCATGGGCGACCACGGCGACATTTCCTTTCTTCATGGGTGATGATTTCTTCTACGTAGAGCTTGCGATTTCCTTACATGTTCTCACTTTTCAACTTGCTTGTACATATGATTTCTTACGATGTGGCACGACGGCCGGGGTCTTGTTTCAAGTTTTACGGCAACGACGGGATCAATAAAAGCGTAGGAATACCACGGATGCTTTCGGCGATCTTCAGTTGAGTGTGATGACAAAGAGGTTGCTGGAATTGCTAAACAGTTTCATCTCAGTGGCCTCTCATTATCTGGAGTTTGCGATCACGAAGCCCATCAGTCCGTTCCTGGCGCCATGCAACCCCGGCTGCATGGTGCTGGCTTGGTGAGTAGCATCAATACCCACAAACCACCCCGAATAGGAAGGTAAATCGACATTTTGCCAATCATCAACGAATCGATCGCAGCAACGGCGCTGGGCATTTCAAGGAAGTCCTCGTCAAGCTGGTCGATACGAGCTTGGCAACATTCCTCGTATCATTCAACATGCATCCTGCTGACCGACAACATGGCCATCTAGTATAGGATTCGCATACCTACCTAGTATTATATAAACCTCCCTGAATATCTCGTTCTTTCAAATGGTTGAACAATTGGAAATTGCTCCAATGGTACTGTCGCCATGAGATTCAAGATCTTTTCGTTGCCGGCCGCGGTTGGTGGTCTCTCGCTCCTGTCGACAATCGCCGCCGCTGACCCCGCTACCACCGTCGCCAATCAACGCTCCAGTTCTTCCGAATCTTCCGAAGACTCCGCGAATGTGATACCGGGAGCTTATGTTGTGGAATGGGAAACTGATGTGGCGGATGCACCCGGCTTCTATCAAAGTCTTGGGTTGGAGATCGAGCATCGACTGGATCTCAAATACCAGCTATTCAAAGGTGCATCATTCCGCATCATTAACGGATCAAATGGTGTATCCAATGGAATCTATGGGATGATAGCAGCACGTCCCGAAGTGAAGTCAATTTGGCCTATCAGAACGATCACAATACCGACAACGAAGCCACTTTATGTTGGGAAAAACAGAACGACTACCTCAGGGCAGTTTGTTGGAGTACACAAGCGGCAAGCCGAGGAGCCCGATACGTACACGCCACACGTCATGACGCAGGTTGACAAGCTGAGAACCGAAGGATATACTGGCAAGGGGATTCGTATCGGAATCGTTGACAGCGGTGTCGATTACACGCATCCAGCTCTTGGGGGCTGCTTCGGAGAAGGATGCATCGTCAGCTACGGTTGGGACCTCACTGGCGACAACTACTTTCCTCCGAATAGCCCTGAACCCGATGCGGATCCTTATGACGGGTGCGTCGGTCACGGAACTCATGTGGCTGGTATCATCGCAGCTCAGGCCAATGAGTTGGGCTTCACTGGAGCAGCTCCCGACGTCACCATTGGAGCTTACCGAGCTTGGGGAGGTAACAGTCTGACAACAAATGATATCCTGCTCGATGCTTTTAATGCTGCTTTCGAGGACGGGAGCGATATCATATCCTGCTCGGCGGGGCAGTATACTGGGTGGGCAAACGATCCTTGGGGCATAGCTGCATCGCGAATTGCAGCACAAGGTGTGTCCGTGATTGTGGCCCCGGGCAACTCTGGCAGATCTGGCATGTTTCTATCGGCGTCACCAGCAACCGGCGTCAATGTAACAGCTGCAGGGTCTGTTGACAATACCATAACGCCTCTCTTGCTCACTGCTGGTTCCTATACGGTGGATAACGCAGCAGGAATCAGAGAGCCGTTTGGTTTCATCAGCGGTGGGCCGGAGTTCGCGGAAAACATCACCTTGCCGCTTTGGTCTGTGAGCAACAGATCTGAATCTGCGAACGATGCTTGCAGTCCTTTGCCGGATAGCACACCTGATCTCGCGTCCAAGATTGTCCTTCTTCGGGTGGCGGACACCTCGGAATGTTAATCATCTACACAAGCCACCAACGTCGCTGCCAAAGGAGGTAGGTATCTATTGTTCTATAGTCAAAGCAACTCGTAAGTCGACCCAACATCCTTTTCTACACATCACTGACTTGAGAAGCTCTATTGCAACAATCTACGCCTATTCAGATGGCATCACCGGCGTTGGGACCGTCACTCCGGCTCAGGGCGCCACTTGGATTAACCTATTGAACCAAGGTTCGAACATCAACATTCACATCGTTGACCCCGCTGCAGCAGACATCCGGTATGAGGCTGTTACCAATGACGTATCTGGTGATCTCACCAGTCTGACCACAGCTTGGGGGCCTACATGGGAGGTGGTATCCAAACCCCAGTTCACTGCTCCAGGTGGAAACATCCTTTCAACTTGGCCCATGGTTATGGGAGAATATTCCGTGCTTTCCGGGACTTCCATGTCAACACCTTTGATTGCTGCAATATTTGCACTTGTCGGTCAAGCGAGAGGAACAACAGATCCTGTCGAATTGCGGAATGTCATCTCATCGACCTCTAGGGCTCGGCCTTGGTTTGATGGAACGAATGTCCACGATATACTAGCGCCTGCACCCCAGCAAGGTTCTGGCGTTGTCCAAGCATACGATGCCGCTCATGCAAAGACGATTCTAAGTGTTAGCGAAATCTCGTTCAACGACACAGAAAACTTCGTCGCGCAGCATACATTCAGCATCCGGAATACAGGCGGGGACGCAGTGATTTACAAACTTGGACACACCAAAGCTGCTACAGCCTACACCTTCGCCTCGGGCTCAAAATCTGCGTCTCAGTTTCCGAATCCGACCGTTGATGACTGGGCCGAACTCTCTTTTTCATCAGAGTAAGTTGAGGTCAGCTGCGAAGAACTATCCCACAAATTTGACATGAGACATAGTGCAATAGGTATATCGGCAGGCTCGTCCGCAGAAGTGACCGTCACAGTGGTTCCGCCACGAAATGTGAATGCGACGCAATTGCCCGTATATAGCGGCCTAGTTACGATCGAAGCCGATAACGGAGAGACGCACAACATCCCATACGTTGGTGTTGCCGGTAGCATGAAAGAAACCCCGGTGTTCCTGGAAGGCCCTGAGTATGGAACCTTTCTCGGCTACTTCAACAATCCCACCGCTCCGAACACCACGTTCACAATACCCCGCCCTGGCACGACGCCGCCGGGAAATGTGGAATATCCGAGCATCCAAGCAAGTTTGCTTTTTGGAACGCAGATGGCTCGAGCCGATGTGGTGGCTCTATCGGAGACGGGGCTTCCCACAACGGCATTTTTCGACATCGAGAGCGTTGGTTTTCTTTCAGGCTTTCCGGAACCTTGGGTTGTGAGGAGAAACTACAGGCTCGGGTTTACGGGAGAGCTCGCGGATGGGACGGTTGTGCCTGAGGGAACCTATAAGATCGTTTTCAGTGGCCTCCGGGTTTTTGGCGACCGCGGAAAGCGTGAAGACTGGGATTTTGCGGAAACATTACCTTTCGTCATCCGATATATCGAATAGAGAAAATTGTCCCACAGTCTGATGGTGCTGCTGGAGAAGTTAAGCAAGATCGGCAGATGTGCAGCAATACAACTATTGATTACACACAAACATCTGGTCTAGGAATTTGGCTCTAGACTGAACGTGTAGAACTTATAATTACATTAGTCCGAGATTAGTATGCTTGGAGTCTGATTACATGCTCTCCGTTGCATACTCGGGTGGGGCATTCGACCGCTGTTTCCCGCAGTCCGACCGACGCCATCTTTCGTCTCATGCATGCCTCATCCACAGGCCCAATCAAATGCTCATGATCGGAGTAGTTTGAACTATGTGATAAACTTTGGAGACGGAATGCCGGGCAAGACCGTGACCGTCTGAACTATTTGAAGCAGATGCCCTGCCTCGGGGGACTCGGTCAAGATGCAGGGACTCAAATGAGAATTTCTCAGATCGGCTTCGCAACCATGGAAGGTATTTCATATCAACTTCTTACCTACAAAACAACCAAAGGCCACAGAGGCGCCGTTCACGTGAATGGCATGGTGTACGATCTCTGCGACGTCGTCTCTGCTACGTGTGTCAGCACCCTTGATGCCCTCCGAAATTGGCATCAGATTAGTTCAAGATTGGAGGCCTTTGCTCTTGATCCAAATAGAGCAAATGTCTCATCTAAAGCCCTCAAAAACGTCAATGTATTGGCACCAATTCCAAATCCGACGACAATTTTCTGTGCGGGAGGCAACTTTACAGATCATCTCGACGAAATGAGCCGCGTTTTGGACGTCAAGCCAGGTCCAAATTTGAAGGAAAGAGGAGAGCCACTTTTTTTCTTTCTCAAGAACACCACAGGAGTTTGCGGGCCAGGATCTGTGACGAAAATAGATTCCCCAGACCTCATGGTAGACTGGGAACTTGAACTGGTCGCGATCATTGGGCGTGTCGCACGCCACGTCTCCCGGGATGAAGCTATGAGATATGTAGCAGGTTTCACCGTCGGAAACGATCTTTCTTTTCGACAAAACATTCAGCGAAAAGAACTTCGATCTGGAGATGCCTTCAAATTTGACTGGTTTCGTCAAAAGTCCTTCGATGGCTCTTGTCCGGTCGGTCCGTGGATGATGCCGACCAACCAGGTCCCGAACATAGAAGACCTGGGGATGAGGCTTTGGGTTGACGATGAACTCATGCAAGACACTAATACCGGGAATATGATTTTCTCTGTCGCCGAGCAAGTTGCAGAGCTCTCTCATCAACTGACCTTGCACCCTGGCGACATGATCATGACTGGAACTGGAGCTGGCGTCGGGCTTGGCCGCGGGAGATTTCTGAAAACTGGAAACACTGTGCGATGCATGATCGAAGACATAGGAGAATTTAGCCACTATATTGGGTAAGACAACCTCGATTGGTTCTCTTCGAGTACGTCGACTTGAACTAGAGCCTTCTTTCTGAGTTGATAAGCTACTACAGATAAGCAAGATCAAATTGAACAAAATCTTGGCTTAACCGCGCGCGAGACCCTCAAAGCACCACGGTTCCAGTTCGAGTCCCCATCTGCTACAACTTCCTGCTCTCCACCTTGCTCGGCACCAACTCCTGAGAACCGTGCAAGTCTTACGCCACAGCCTTGGCTGCTTTTCTGTGGACGCATGCCATAAGTGAGTATTCCATTTTGGGTCACTTACGCTCTCGCCTCTACCCAGGATTTTGTAAGATGCCAGAGAAACTACCCGACCACTGCCATCGGGTAGGTCGTCTAACTGATAGACATAGCTTGTAAAGCAGCGGTGGCATTTCCTAGCCCTGGTGAGAATGCGTATTCTGTCCGGTCCGTCCTTCTCCTCGTTCCAAGGATCGATCCGGTGCGCAGTGGGCTCCAAGTGTTGTGGTTTTTGTTCCGGCCAAATCTGAGGGAATTCTTCGGTCCAGCGAACGTGGCCACAGCAATTATTCATAGACCGCAAAATAGGTTTCAAATTTGGTGCGGCCACACGTTGCTGTTGCTCATCACCGTGACATGGAAGCATGGCAATGACTGTTCGAAGAATGAGCTCGCCGTCCCAGATGAGGCACCTCGTAGTGTACCGGATTTGCGCATGGCCGACTCGGTAATCCTTGCTTGAGGCGAGCATATCCAGCGAATATCTGTATGTCCTCTGACGATACGATCGCATAATCGCATATACCATATTCCAGTGCATGTTTTCTGGGAGATATATCGATTGAAACTTCCCTACACGCTCTGCCATTGTCCAAATGACACAGGGGTTTCCTGAAGGTGGGAGGGAAGCTTGAGGTATATGGTATATGCGGCAAGTATGGCAGGGGACCTTCTTCACTGGAAAGCCATCGCGCTCCAATAGCAGTAGGAGTTCGAACAATGAGCGCTCGTCTGTAATGTCGAGGGATTTTGATCCTAGCTTGTCGTATAACACTGTGCTCGTCAACGCAAGTGATGCTCGTGCAGCTGCGGTGAGATGATTCGTTATGCAGAGGAGAAGCTCCATTGGTAAAATCTCAACAGTACTGTACCCAATGACTAAGTAGCCGTTGAAGGTTCGCGGGCGTTCCTTTTGCTGCCTGGAGCCAAAGAATCGATGAATGGCTTTAGTTATGGGAGCTGTCTTTTGATGCAGTAGTCCAGCTCGATTGAGCAATCTCTGGGCTGCAGCAACTTCATCCAGTTGAATCAACTCCTTTGCATTGCTAAAATCCATCTGCAATAAGGAGACGTCGGCTTAGCTGAATGAATAGTGGAGAGGTAGATAATGAGCTAAGATGTTTTGGCTGTTTTGACAGATTGTTTTCTCGATTTGATGATTGTGTATTACTTTAATATCAGTCGCACTGTGGCAGTGCATGAAGTTGGGGTACCGGAGACACACGTCGAGCGGCAAGTCTAACACTGCACGTCAAGGTAACAAGCCATAGCTAAGGGTGTTCAATAGAGGGCGGTGTGATTGTCCTGCAGAACCTGTCTGGAAACTTAATCACGACTGCCTTTGACGTGCAGAAATTCTTCTTCATTTGAATGATGATCTGGCGAGACATTAGGGGCTTGATTTTGAATTCGCAAAAACGCACTATTCAACGTTCACAGCATCTAAACAGTGATGAAGGTTCTGTCGCGTCTGGCACGGGCAAAGATTCCCAACAAGAGGAAGAGGCAAATTGAAACCATCGTCTAGGCTTGCAAAGAGATTTTCTGGTAATAAAAATTGTCGAGAACTTGTCTATACGCCATTAGGCTAGGTTTCCGAGATAGTACGAGTCGCTCGTACTACTCGGTTGCCGCATAGTCCACCTCATACAGTTGCGCTTTGACGATTTCCACCATCCAAGTGAAAAGTTTAAAGCCTGCTAGTCTCTACATGAAGCCATACTTATGCGCCGAAGCATGTGACTGAGCTAACCTTCCGTCTTCATCAACTACGTCTGACAGCATCATCAGATCCTCATCAACATGGAGAAGTCAAACGTGAATATCTCACGACTGAGGCTTGGCCAAAGTGATTCCGGCCCGGCGTGTAACTCATGTAGAAAGTAAGTATTATTCCTTGGAATATCTCGCTCGCATGTGAATAACTAACCGACGAAGACGGAAATCAAAATGTTGGTTCCTATGTTCCTGATTACTTAGGCCGTTCTAGTAGCTAAAGAATCAAATTTAAGGTGACAAGTTAAGACCATCTTGTACCTTCTGCATAGTACAGGGGCAATCATGCGTCTACTCTCCACTCCGCAGGAAGCCAGGTCCCGCTAAAGGATCAAGACACATTCAAGGCACGAAGGAGTTGGAACAACGCCTAAGTAGTGTATCCTATGGTCACAGCCATTTTACGTCTCGAGGCTGACGCCGATATTCTGTTCCCCAGCTCGAGTAGAAGAATTTCTCAAGCTTCCTCAACCTCCGAGTGCATCTGGCCTACCCACGGATGTCTCGGAACAATCTCAGCCAGTGAGCACGGAGTGTGAGTTGACGGCAAGTCTTGCTCCTTTAACTGATGCGCCATCATGTATCCCACCCGCCATTACGTACTATGAACCGGTGTCTCCCAGCAGTATTCGATCAGTCCTCCGAGCTATCAAGTGGATCAATTGGACAGACGACAGAAAGACTTTGAGTCCGAACAAGAACGGACTTCAATCTACCTGTAGTCGTCATTTCAAATTGCCTTGCTACATTGGTGATGGGACTCTCTGGACGGATAATGAGCACTGTTTGTGAGACGAGACCCTTGGTACTTTCACCACTGCGCCACTGACTACTATTGCCAGGATCTCTGCATATTTCGAACATGTTACTCTGCCTCTCTCTATTTTCTCACCGACCCGATTCTATTCTCAATATGCGGAAGGCCATATTCCGCCCTACTTGTTACACGCCATGTTTTCGCTTTCGAGTCGGTTCACAGAGGCGCCAGGAGTTTTGCGTCTTGCGCAAAATGACCTGCCCGGTCTCGCAGAAAGATTCTACCGAACAGCCTCTGGTGAATTGGATCATTTCGAAGGCAGCTACAGAGGAGTCGGCATGGCCGAGGTTCAGACTGCTTTCCTCTTGGCACATTACCAGTACACTTATCTGCCTGTTGGATCAGCCTCTTATCAGTATTCCAGGGCAGTCAGGTGGGCATACACTTGTAACCTACATCAAGTCGACAATCCTCGCCCAGAGCCTCGAAGAGATGAATCGGATTACACCGTAGACGATGAGGAGAAGAGATGTCTATGGTGGGCTCTGTGGGCCATGGATAGTTTCACCAGTCAGATGTCTTCAGTGCCTCCGAATATTGAAGATGGAAGTTCGAGCACCCTGTTGCCCTCTTGCCGGCTGTCGGAACTCGCTATTGGTAACTTCCCGCCCTCTGCGAGGAGATCGTTAGACGGCGATCGAGAAAAGAACTGGTACAACCCACTACCTGGCGAGACACCAGGAGTTAAGGCGCAATTAGTCAGGCTATCAGCGACTGCACTGGCGCGGGAAATGAGTTCTTTGATAAGACTGGGGCAAGCTAGGCCCACAATCGCCGTCAAAGATCGTCTTGACCGTCTCGAGAGGCAATGGTACTGCATGATATCAGGCCTCTCTCCTGAGTTTCTGTCTCCGGAATATAGCGCAGCTGATCAGAGTGTGGAGGGTCATCGTCTGAGACTTGAAGCTTTACATCTGGTACACGTGTAAGTATGATCATAGGGCCTTTTAGGTTCAACATTAAGATTTTGCGTCATACTAAAAGATGATGCTAGAACAGGCTTACTATCTGGAATACCGCCGCTGCGCCCACTAACGATGGAGCGCGATAGGTGGCTAGATAGAAACGAAGCACCATACAACTATGAAACCCGATGGAGCAATAGCATATCCCACGCTCTTCGCATTGTCGCACTTTACCAACATGGAAATTGGCCTTCTCAAGCATTTCTCGAAGGTGATGCAATCACTCTGTACCCCATCCTGTGGACAGCAGCGTCGTTCTTGTCTCTTGCACTCATGAGATCTGGACCGGTTGATGCCACGGAGAAAATAGCCTTGCTGGATGCATTAGACTCAGTCATGATACAGCTGACCCAGGCATCGCAACATTGGGGCATTGCTAGACTTTTCCTTTGTGAGTGGAGGTTTTCAAGTTCTTCATTTTCCATTGCTGACTAGCCACTTCTTTCAAGCCTCTCTGAAAGAGCTTCGAGGCTTAAGTTATTTCAGACTTGACATGAGTACCATTTTCCAGCTTGTTTTAGGGATCTACAGTCCCCTCAAACAGGATGCCGTGGAGCGCGAGGAACCGAAGGGCTCTTTGGACTCAACTGTCGAAGAGGATGGTGTCTTCAGGGACGACCAGAACTCCGACGGCAATCCAAGTCAGGTGACATCTTCGTGGACCGGAGAAGATATGTCCTCGTTTATCGACTGGTCTGGCGGGAACCCGAGTGATCAAGGCAGTGAATGGTGCGGTCCAGAGACCTCATACGGGCTGTAGTGACTGTGAGCAGAAACTGTCGAGAGTTAGGAAATGCATCCAGGAGAAAGTAGTTCCGATTCGAGTGACTTTCAAACTCAATCTGTGCGACGTTGTCCGTCCAAACCCAACAATTTACGTGAACTTATCTCCGATCACCGCTCTAGACCCCGCGATGGCGTGAGAAATCCTTGAGATGGCGACATTCTACCCCTCAAAACCCCACGATACACCTTTGCCCCAACTGGGGAAGATGGGGCACTCCAAAGAAGACATTTAGAACACGTAACCCACTGTGCTCATCAACCAAGATTGACGAGATACCGTGTTATTTACCTTGTGCTTGGCGGTAACCTGTTCATAATGACGCAAGAACGATAGCGATTGATGTGATGAATGCCAAGAGGACAGGGCCTTGACTTTTCGCAGTCACCAACACCACCCTTTATCATTGTCCAGACCAACCGCCGACATCCGAAGCGATTACTGCCCTATGAACTTTTCTTAGCCAAGAACGAGGTATTTGCCTGAATGGCTGGCTTTACATTGCGTGATCATGCACAGTATTTGTGTCACTGGGAGTCGTGGGGTATGTGGATGATTGCTTATCCAAATGGAAATATGCGATGATTAGTCGATCATTGTTGGATATTTCCTTCTTACCTCAGAGATTTGGAAGCTGATGACAACACGGCCCAAGGTCATGTGTTTCCGTATACCCAAGACTTCAGGAATCACAACCCGTAATAAGCTAATCGAGTTTTAACCTTCCATCTGCTTGACTGCTGTATAACTATAATGGGTAAACATATGAGCCCTGGATGGCCTAGGCTAGAGAAACCTCCATGGCTAATCTATAGAGTATATGAAGGGGGCGCGAGTCCGGGGCAGCTTCTCCTCCACACCACCACAACCAATTGCTCCCTTCAACATCAAGATACCGCCACCATTTCCCGGGCTCTTTCACAGACTTTTGCATCCTCATGCATGCGCATGCAACTTCAGCAAATAAGATCTCACCGATAATGAACAGAGGATCTCCGCATGGTGAAATTGCTGGAAAGCTGCCCGGTAAATGCCAACCTTTAGTATGGTGTTCGGCCTCAGGATTGGGCATCTTAGTCGGACATCAGCCGGTCTGCGTCGGGTCTCGCCCGATCTCTGGGTTTCATCGGGTGCCCATTCCGGCCAGAATATGCTTCCAAGACTTTTGACGACTTACAAACCCTCCATTACGACAGAATCCTGCAGCCTTTTGTTGTAATCTACGTGGAGTACCAACTCTTGGCAAATAGAATGCTTTTGATATAACATCGTGGAGAATATGGTTGCGGCCATGAGAAAACCCGCTAATTGTCCTTGCGAAGACAATCAGAAAGCTGACATCCAATTCAGCTATTCTACGGGGTTTCTTAAGGGCATTAAATACTTCTAGGTATGCCTGGTTCTATCGCAGAAGTCCGGCCAGCCGATGCCGATGCCAAAACTTCAGCTTCTTTTCAAAGCAACGACAAGGGAATCGTCGAGCCGGCTATCACTGAGGTCCTCCAAGAAGCACCGAAACGAACATGGAAATCTTATTTGTGGGACACCTTCGACAAGTCTCCGGAGGAACGTCGATTTCTCTTCAAGCTTGATGCGGTGTTAATGACATTGGCATCACTTGGTTACTTCATTAAGTATTTGGATCAGGTACTTGCTGAAAGCCCGACGAAAATGAGCAGTGACTGAAACATCCAGGTCAACATCAACAATGCATTTGTGTCTGGCATGAAAGAGGATCTCAGCCTGTATGGGAATGAGCTCAACTATATGCAAGTTTGTTGGACGGTTGGATACGTGATTGGAGAGATTCCCAGGTGAGTCTGCCCCTTGTTGTGCCACTCAACATCCGTAATGACAACCTCCCTAGCAACATGCTTCTCACCCGGATTCGCCCTCGAATCTGGATTCCAATTTGCGAGGTAGGAAACTAGGAGCCAATTACACATTCAAACAGCAGCTGATTGGTATATCAGGTTACCTGGTCGGTTCTCACTATCTTACTTGCAAAATGCCAGACTTCAACTCAGATCTACGTCCTTCGCTTCTTCATTGGCCTTGCAGAATCCACCTTCTACCCAGGGATGCAATACATCATTGGCTCCTGGTACCGGAAAGACGAACTGGCCAAGCGTAGTTGCTTGTTCCATGCAATGGGAAACGTTGGGTCAATGGTTTCCGGCTATCTCATGGCTGGTGCCCATAATCTTGACGGCGTGCATGGTTATCACGGCTGGCAGTGGCTGTTCATCACCAACACTATCGTGTCCCTCCCGATTGCCATTTCTGGATTCTTCTTCCTGCCTGACTTACCAGAGATCACAAAAGCCTGGTACTTTACTCCCGATGAAATCGTCCTGGCTCAAAAGCGTATGCAGCTGGAAGGACGCGCCCATAGAGCCCCTTATATAAAGGCAAAGTTCGTCAAGATCTTTTCTAGTTGGCATATCTGGACTCTGGTCATTCTTTACATTGTCTTCAATAACGGCAACGGAGGAAACTCTCAACCCGCGTTTCCCCTTTGGCTGAAGTCTGAGGGCTACAGTCTTCGCGAAGTCAACATCTATCCCACGATTACCGAGGTAGTCAGCATTATCACCACATTGATCTACGCATGGACCTCAGACAGTCTCTTTCGGGGAGCTCGCTGGCCAGCTATCGTCTTTTCAGGGCTAGTCAAAATTATGGCTTACGTTCCCTTAACAATTTGGAACGTGCCTAACAGCCTCAAATGGGCATGCTTCATCTTGTGTGGATTTGGAGGAGGAATCAGCGGCCTCACATTCGCCTGGGCCCACGAAATCTGCAGCGATGATAACGAGGAAAGGGCTTTGGTCACCGGAGCCATGAATCAAATGGCGTACGTCTTTCAGGCATGGCTGCCATTGGTGATTTGGCAACAGGTCGAGGCCCCTGCATACCCCAAAGGCTACCCGAGCATGGTTGCCCTTTCAATCGTTCTGATCGGCATTGCCTTTGTCATTCGTTTCCTACACAAGCGGGAGATACGTCTCAAAGGTGCACTTGGGTCGAATCCTGCCTGAAAACCGGATGCCGGGGGTTAGCTGTCCTGTTCCAGCTGGGGTTCACATGAATAAGGGCAAGTTTCTCCAATGAGTTATGGGTAGCAACCATTCAAGGCGCAGAGAATGTCGGAAATTAGCCTGAATAATATAACATCTACACATGAGTTTGTCAAGCGGCGCAAATTAGGCCTTTCTCTCTTCTTTCTCTAGCCCGCATTTACTTGCGGACGCCCAAGTCAACCCGACTGGACATTGAAAGAAGACTAATGCACCCAGCTGACAGGTCTCCACTAGGCCGTCCGCCGCTTCGGACGAATGCCCCACACAATGCGAACCGCGACGCGAATCGGACGACGAGAAGTTGGATAAGAGTGTTTTTGGAGCTGTAAATTTGCGTGTCAGCGGCTTGCATATTGCGATTTGACTAAAGTTGCACTTATGAGTGTCAAGGATGAGGGAGGTAAACGTCTCGGCCTTTCAATGAGTGTGCCAACTTGATAGAAGATGAGTTCAGTCTCACATCCAGCCGGTGTCCTGATGCCAACAACGGCTAATAAGCGAATAATGTGAAGACTTTCTCGTCTTCGCCTATGTTATTTACCAGCGCTCAGACGTCAATTGATGCGCATGACATCCAAGGCGCCAGTCTCTACGTCGTTTGTAGGGCTAGTGAGACAGAGATCGCTCCATCATTGTCAGAGTTGCGCGAACAGCCAAGACTTGGGGATAATACTGTGTGGCAACTCAAATGCGAAAGCGCGCCCAAACCTCATCTTCTCGGGTTCCGGAGCACAAACGCGAAGAGCGAAAGGATACCGAAGACGCGAACATGATGTCGTCGTAAAGGCGCAACGTATGATAAATACAATAGACTCAACGCGAGTCCTCATCTTAGCTAGATTCTTGTTATCTGCAGTCACAAGACAGATATCACACTCACTACTACTTTTTTCCTTCCCCGGCCACCAGCTTTCAAGCTCAGATCAACATGGTCTCTCCTACACCGACTAACTTTGCCATGAGGCTCACTGCGTTCGGCGCACCTCTGACGAAGGTCGAACTCCCCGTGCCCGAGGCTTCTGCGGGTACCGTCGTCGTGCGAAATCTCGCGACATCCCTCACGTCCTACATGCACCTCATCCTAGATGGCAAGCTGCCACAGCACAACTTGCAGCTCCCAGTCATTCCGAATCCGCCATGCGTGGGACGTATTCACGCCGTGGGCCCGGACGCGGTACGCCTCAAGTCTGGCGATCTTGTGTACATCCAACCAATGGTACAGGCTCGCGACGATCCCTACACCAAGATTGTGCAGGGTCACATCTGCGGCACGAGTGACGGGGCCTATAGGCTCTGGGAAGAGTGGAAGGAAGGTGCATTCCAGCAATACACCAAAGTCCCCCTGGAGAACTGTATTCTGCTCAACGAAGACCGCCTATGTGGAGAGCTTGGCTACAGCCCAGCGGTGCTACAGTCCATCGCAAACTACGCTGTCTCCGCTGGAGCTATCATTGAAGCCGCAAAGCTGAAGCCCGCCGAGACCATCATCATTGGCCCATCGTCTGGTATGTTCAGCGGTCTAGCCGTTGAAATTGCCTTGGCCGTGGGTGGAAACGTCATTGCCCTCGGACGGAGCGAGAGCAAGCTCGCGGCAATGAAGCAGAGAATTGGTGGAGATCCAGGCCGTCTGAAGTACGTTGTGATGACGGGCGACGACGAGACAGACTACGGAGCAATTATGCAAGCAACACCAGGTGCAACCGGAGCTGAGGTCTACAATGACTGGACCCCTGAGGGCAACACCGGGGCGTTCTACCTCTCAGCTGCGTCCCGCACGCTAAAGTTCAATGGTCGCATTGTCCTAAGCGGCGGAACGACAGCAGGGCTTGGAGGTTTGAGCTACATCTCGGCAGTTACCAGAGACCTGCAAATCCTTGGAAAGTGGGTTTGCAACCGTCAAACCGTGGAGCAGTTGCTCGGCATGGTGACTTGTGGATTGCTGAGGATTGGCGTCGAAAGCGGTACTATAGTGAAGGAGTTTACTTTAGATCAGGTGATGGAAGCTATGGAATACGCTCGGGAGAATGTCGCATGGAGACATTACGCTGTTGTTTGCCCATAGTGTCATGAGCTTTACAATGCAGGTGAAGCCCTGTTTGTAAGCTGAGTAGATATGCTATGGCAAGGATTTAACTGCATTTTATATCACATGAAAGTGTGAAACTGTTGCTTCGATTTTGTTAAGAAACAATTGTGTGATGGGCTTTATTCTTACGCATCAGATACAACCTATTTAATCGGCCTGTGACGCAGCCCTCATGTTACCGCTGTCGTTAGATAAATCTATTCCCTTGAAAGACGTTAGTGGAAGTAATAATAACGAAGACGACGACGATGATCACGACGACAATGGCGATGGCAGCGACGACGACAGTGAGTCAGAGTGTGTCACTACAGAAAAGATACTTGCTCTAGAACAGGAAAATTAAGCGGTCTCTTGAATACTTTTAACTATACTAAGAGAGATATGAAACCCCTATGTAGATTTAGGAAGAGAAACATGACATGCTTCGTTTTTTAGCAGTCGTGGATCCCTGTCACTATTGGTATCTGTGATATTCGATCACGCAGGGCCGATACCGTCCAAGAAGACCTCGTCTAACAGCGGAAACAAGGCACTCTGACCGACCCACTGCTCCTCAGCAGCGCCTCTGATACGCTCAGGTGGCAGAATAAAGCCATAGTCCCCCGTATCAGGAAGCTCAATAGTGTACGAGAAGTCAGCACCACCAATAGCGTAGACGTGATCCGGAGCAGCTCCGGTGGTTGTGTACAGTGTAGCACCACTCGGTCCAAAGGTGAACGTCGTGCGCCGCTCGGAGCTGTCCCGGATGACCTCGCTCAGAATTGACGCTGCCTTGGTCCACTTTCCAAGCTCGGGAGCATACCACTCCTCCTTCGATCCGAAGGGTGAAAGGATGTACTGGCCGTAGCTGTGCCAGTCGATAAATAGCTTGATTCCAGCCGCGTCACGGAGCTTGCGGACGTAGGCATCGAGACCTTGATTCTCAATAGTGTCGGAATGTCTCTGACCACGATAGGCCTGGGCGCAGGCGTTTGTCGAAGCACCGAGTGAGTTGACGTCCCATCCGTACTCCCAGTTCCTGTTGATGTCTGTGCCATAGCAGGACTGGTTCTGCGGCGGTGGGGGAGGCGGGGTACGGGTCTTTCGCCAGAGACGGTCAACTTCCTGCGAGTACGCAAAACCGTCGGGGTTGACGATGGGGAAGATGTGAAAGTCGTAAGTGTTCAACCAAGAGCCCGTGGCATTGGTGGCGTTCTTGTGGGTGTTGATGAGTTGGAGAGTTAGGTACTCAACCACCTTGACCACGTTAACTGCATGGTCCGTAACTTCCAATGATTTACTCACCTTGGACGTAATCCATTCTCGGGCATGCACATTGCCGCTGAGATGACATCAGATTATGTTTTATCAAATTCTGATAGCACGCAACTTACTGGTAAAGAACAGCCGGTTTTCCCGGGCCGTCGTCGCCCCAAAGGTGGATCCCCTGGATGGTCCGATTCTCATAAGAGTGACCGGCGGTAATCAATTCCGAGTTGTCGGGAAAAGACTCGTGGAGGTCCTTGATGTACTGGATATGGTCGGCGTACGGATGGTAGGAATCATACCACGACAGGTCGTCGACATCACGCTTGTATGTACTCTTGAGTTGAGATTCCGCCGTGATGGACTCTCCGAGGTCTTTGTGGAGAACGCGGTAATCTAGACCCTGGGCCTCAACGTTGGCGACTTGGTCAGGAGAGACCACAATATCGATGTGAGTGTCGATGTCGTGGTTCCATTGCTCGTGAGGGATTGTCGAGAGCTTTTGTTGGACGGAGGCCAGTCTGCTAAGAGTCTTCACGCGGAGAACTTGGTACCCTTCATACGAGATGGCGCCTCGTTTGTGGACGGAGAGTCCCGCGGCGAGGGAGGCTACGAGTGAGGCGACGAGGATGGGCTTCATCGTCGCAACTGAAGGTCTGTAACGGTCTACAGCGGTGCACGCGAAAAAGGAATCTTAGGGCGAGGGACACTGCGGATGCCTTTAAGTATCTCACCACCAAGCTGGCAAGGATTCGTGAGTTTTCTGCTGATATTGCGCATCTTCTAGGAAGTAAGCGCCAAGCCTGTCCCGCACTGCAGTACGATGGTGTGCTGTTACGAACCTGGATGAAATAGCAGACTTTGCACTCTGAGCTGCACTCTGAGCATGCAAGTTCCAGGTCCCAGTGCAAGCTAGGAAAGACCCCAAGAATCGTTCTTCTGCCATAGATTCGCAATGACGTAAACCATCAGGGTCACCTTCCTTATGGAGCTAGCAAATGCATGGCGTTTCTCATCGTACTGAGACTTTTTAGAATTCGCGATTTTTATTGATCATGGCGTTTTCAATTCTTAACTTCAATTGATCTCCCCCATGGTAAGTCTCACGGGAAAAATCTGTTGGGATGTATGCTTGGATAATCTCGGGAATCATTCGAGGTCGTGTCTGCCTGGTATTGCCAAGACGCTATCTGCAGGGAGCTTTTGATCACGTTCGATCCAACTTCCTCTCATCGTCTGATGTTGCCCGAAGTTTCCGAGAAGTCGGTTGGTGGTGTGGAAAAGTGTGGTCATTATCTCCTACCTTTTGAGCCCCGCCACATCCAATTTGTGGAGGTTTGCGCCACAATATGAAAAAATATGTTTACACTTTGATAGATGCCTACTGAGCATCGTGGTGCTGTTTATGATAACCAGGAAAGCTTCGATCCAGGTTCGCAAGAGTATTGTCAAAGAAAACCGTTATCACATCTTTTCCAAGTTGCAGTGGCTTACTTATTTCGCGAATGACACTCACATTGAGCTGGGCGAGGCGGGCTTTCAGGTCCACGATTGACGCATGGGTGAAGTTCCATGTCCCATAACTTGGAGAAATACGTGGCTCTCCTATCTCTTCAATGGAATGGCAATGTACGCTGTGAGGTATATACAAGACCACCGGCCCAACTGATCAGATCGACTCTGGCAAGGCCACTCTTAGAGTTCATCGTGAGTATCAGTCTTCTCCTTCGCGCCTTCGGCATTGGACTTGGAGGCTCCCTCTTGGTTCTCCTTCTGTTCTTCGGCCTGGATCAGAGCCGCCTCATCGTCTGCGTCAACCTCAACGACTTCGAGGATCGTCTCTCCATCCCATGGTTCGATGTTACCTTCAGAAATATCGGTGATGAATGCTTCCACGGCATCGATTGTGATCTCTCCAGTGAACGGGAACACTTGGCCAGTGGCTGGATTCTGCAAAGCAACAGCGTCTTCGATGTTTGTGGGAAGGCCGAACATTGCAGGCATCTCGGGGTACTCGGTCAGGTCGACAGTGACAAAAGTGATGTACTGGTGATACTTCTTGGCCAAGGGAATGACGGCGGAGCTCCATGCGTCCAGAAACTGATCGATCCTGGCGAAGAAGTAGACCAACGATTTGCCCACCTGCATCTGGGTCAGCAATCACGATACATTTGGAGGGTAGCAGAAGGGAACAGACATTGAGGTACTCCGCCTCGTTGCGTCTTGTCAATCGCGGTACCAATGGTGCCGCGCACTTCTTCACGAGCTTCTCCATGGCATCCACCTCCTCCAGCTCTGACGACATTTGCATCGCGCCAATGGCATTATTCCAGCATGTAATTCGGCCCGGGGATTCGGGAACGTCGGTCAAGCCGAAAGCATAGCGATCGTGGAAGCGCTCGGCAAGATCATTGTACCGGTCGCGTAGGGAGGATTCTTCGGTGGTGAATTGGCCCAGCACGACGACGTCGTCGCTGCTTCGGAAGGAGGACAGAGTCTGCTTCTCGACGGGGGTTATAACGGGTCGGTTCATGCGATTGACGAAGGCGCCGATTCTGCGCAGGCTCATTAGCTGGGAGTGACAAAAGTCAAGCTTAGGATTCGACGTACTCAGACCCCTTCCGGGAGCCACGATAGTGATGTTTCGTACCATCGGGGCGGTAGTAGCGGATCGCGGGGAAGGAAGCAACGTCGAGGTCGGCGCAAAGGTCGGGGGAGGCTTCGCAATCGACGGAGAGGGCAGTCGGGATCGCATCCTCGACGGCAGCCCAGTGCGGCTCAAGAGCTTTAGATGCATCGCTGGTATGGTTAGAGACGGTGACGAAAGGCGAGGCGCACGACGTACGTTGAAGGCTTGTTGGGTCAGTATGTTGCGTGCTAGAGTGACATCGTTGAGCTGCTTGGAGCTGCTGGGACATTTATGGCGAGCTTACCGCGACAACTGTCCAAGAGATCAGCGTAGCTCCAAAGCTCCAAGGAAGTCAACTTACAGGCAATCAGGCTGTATTCATTGGTGGCAATCGCATCACGAACTTGAGCTTCCGCTTTGTGTTGCCAGCCCACGCCGGTACCAGCGAGCGCCAGCAGCGGCAAGACAACCTTCAGAGACATTCTAACGAGTGCGACGGTGACGTATGAACACAGTGGCCGGATGCCGAAGAAAAAGAGAGGAAGAAAAAGGCCACTTCAAAGCTCGAGCTTGGGGAATTGACTCGCTGCGGCGGGGAACCCTAGCTGCCCCTTGCACCCCTGAATTTAGATGAACCGCCGTTTGATCGCCTTCAGGGGGTGGGGAATCAGCGCCGAAGCATGAACGGTGTCCTGAACTCCAGAATCTGGACCACAGGTGTGCAATAAGTTAACCACCACCGGCTTCGAAGTGATGTAAAACGGTGAGAACGAGAGCGGAAGCGTGCTAAGCCGAGCCGAATCTTCAACGGAGGTGTTCAACGCCGCTGTGGGGCTACCCGTCTCGGGGCCGATCGCATGCCCTGGCCGTTCAATCGCTAGCAACTCCGGAGGTTCGGCCGTAGTCTCTGGATCGAGCGTACATGTTCCCCGGTCCTTGCCCGCAGCATTAGTCCAGTCCTTCGAACATTGTCCTTCGACTCATCATTCGCTCCATCTTCCTGCGCATTCAGC